GCCTCGGCTCCGGAGCCGCCACCGCCTCCGACTCTCTAAGGAGCCGCCCCCGCCCCACGGACGCCCGCGGCTGCGGCCTGTGTCATTCCCAGCGCATCGCCTCCGCCCTGCGGACTTACAGGCTTGTCGCTCCTCTCCGCCCGTTGGAGTCTAGGCTCGGAGACGCGGCGCGGGAGCCCCGGCGCCGCGCACGCTGCCCCGCGTGGGCAGCAATGACGTCAGAAAGGAACCGGCGACTCCGCAGGCGCAGCTCCCCGCGTCTGACCAAGAAGACCTCTCGGCGTCGTGCAAGTAATAATGCTGCATTTGAAGGCTTTGAAGGACTCCCAGCGTTCATGGGGACGTAAAGACAGGCTTCTGTAAGTCTGGCTGTCAGTGAGGCCGTTACAAGTGATTCCACCCATGCCTTTATGCATAGGTTTAGACGGGCTCACCCAGCTGTGGGGACGTACGGATCAAGTGTTCTTCAACAGCCATTTGTTTACTTTATGGGTCATCTGAAATGCATGCCAACTCAAAGATTTAAGGTTAAAAAATAGATTTTAAAATAAATATTAACGTATAAAAATATTGAACTGAGACCAAAATGGTGAAGAGTCAGTTAACTAGGGATGGGTCAGCCTTCACAAAAAAGAGTGCAGATGGCCTAGCATAAGAGTGTGTATTATATATGCTCTGTCAAGACAATTTAACAATAGAATTTTCTTGATAAGACTAAACATTTGGGCTGTGGGTCAATAACAATAAAGGTCAACTTTTCATGACAAGGGAAGGGGCTTGAGAGCTGTGAGGCAAGAGAACTGTGGAGTCGACCTTAAGGATGAGGCGTTCAGCAGGCGGACGTAGGGAAGGAGGCAGAAGAGCAGCATCTGGGGGCATCTGCTGTGTGCCCTGCGCGTGTGGCTTCATGACCTCCGATCCCCGCAGCGTCGTCATCCCTGATTCCGCTCGGCCCGAGGAAGCAGGGGGTGCGTTTCGCGCTTAGGGTCGTCCAGCCGGTAACTGCAGAGGAGAAATGTGAACGCAGGTCTGTCTGCCTGCCGGCCTGTGTCATCCTTCCAATTCATCCTGCTCCGGGCGGAAAAACGCAACATCATAAATATGTTTTCCCACTTGAAATGACCAACAAGACATTTCTTTAAGTTTATCTGAGTTATAAAAAGAAAACTGAACGAATACCCTTCATTAATTAATAACACTGTCTCTAAGGTGGAAGGTCACCTTGCCCATCGCAGCCCCTCTTAAAACAGTGTGAAATTCTTAACCTAGGAAATGTCCTCTTTCAGGTCAGGTCCCTTTGAGAGTTTGCACATTCAAACACCCGAGCAGGATATAAAAATGGTCGCATGTGCTGATGCAGAGCTTGGTTGACTGCAGGTCGCCCGGGACAGGCAAGCAGCCTCCTGGCCCTTATTCCCCGCGTGACTCCAGTTTCTTTCCCGTCCCACTCCAATTAGAAACGAGGTTGCAGATCTGAGTCTTCCCTCCCCGGGGGTTTCTCACACAGGCCATCACAGTAATGAGTCAAGCGGTCTTCCCTTAGCTGACGGTCAGTGGTAAAAACACACTCATCATTAGAGGGATTACTACCAGCTTCTTTAAAAATTGGTGAAAGAACATATGCTGTAGTTTAGAAGTCCTGTAGTTCCCAGACAAGAAAAAGCTAACCAAACCAGTATTAGAAGAAATGTTAAAGGGACTTTTTTAAGAAGAAAAAGGGGGGGGGTGTAAAAAACATATAAATAATAAAATGGTAATGATTACATATCTATCAACAATTTCTTTAAATGCAAATAGCTTAACTGCTTCAATCAAAAGACACAGGGTGGCTGAATGAGTAAGAAATCAAGACCCTTACATATGCTGCTCAAAGAGGCTCACTCCAGATCATAAGCACACACACAGACTGAAAGTAAAGGGATGGAAAAAGATATTTCATGAAAATGGAAATGAAAAGAAAAAAATCTGGGGTGGCAATACTTCTCTCAGACAAAACAGACCTTAAAACAAAGGCTGTAACAAAAGACAAAGAAAGACGCAGCAATTCCACTTCTGAGTATTTATCCGAAGAAACGAAAACACTAAAGTGGAAAGACATATGCATACATATACTGCATTCATTGCAGCATTAGTTACAATAGCCAAGATACGGAAGCAGCCTAAGTGTCCATCAGTAGACAAACGTATAAGGTGCGTAGACAGTGGGCTATGACTCAGCGGTAAAAATGAATGACATCTAACCATTCGCAACAGCACGGACGGACCTAGAGGCTGTTATGCCAAGTGAAATAAGTCAGTCAGAGAAAGGGAAATATCATAGGATTTAGTTTCATGCGGAATCTAAGGTACAAAATAAATGAACAAAGAAAACAGAAACAGACTCAGAGGTACAGAGAACATATTTAAAAATATATCTTTATTGTTGAAAGTATTACAGATGTCCTGTCCCCTTTTCTTCCCCATTGACCCCCTCCACCCTACCTCAACCCCAGCCCCCAGTTTCCAGTTGGGTGTGAGATTGGGGGGATAGGTGAAAAAGGGAAGGGAGTAAGGTGTGCAAATTGCCAGCTATAAAAACAGACACAGGACATGAAGTACAGCCTAGGGAGCATAGTCAATAATATTGTGATAATGTATGGTGTCAGATGGGTACTAGATTTATCAGGAGGAGCACTTCATAAGGTATGTAAATATCTAACCACTATGTTGTACCTGAAACTAACATAATGCTGTATGTCAACAGTAATTGAAAAATTAAAATAACCCAGAAAAAAGTCCTTTAATAAGTTATTTGATGAATTTATCGATATTTCTATTTCCTCCAAAACTATATCCTCAAATTTGTCAGAGCTTAAAGTATTTAAATTTTTTTCTTAATCACAAACCACTCAAAAGAGGCTATAGGAAGAAACTACCATCAAGTAGTGCTGTCCTAAGGAATCCTGCACACTCTAAATTTAGTAGATTTTTTTTGTAAACCTAGGACTAATCTCAGACTCAACATAACAAATGGTAGCTAAATAGATGGCCTCTTGAAATCTGCTCTACCACAGATGAACAAGCCAAGACTTTCTCAATGTGCAGTTCAGAAAATTCTTTTCCCAGCTTAGAAGCAGAGGGAAGCAGACAAGCACACACCAACCTGAACAGATGCTCCGAAATTACAGGAGTTTAGGTTTGGAGTCACTTCATTTAATCTTTGTACGATCCAGAATTCAATGCAGATTAAAACAACAGTATTTTAAATTCTATTCATGAATATTAAGGACTTGGCTACAGTTAATAAAGCTGAGAAGAAAAAAAATATAAGCCGTTAGAGCAACATAATTCTCACTCCAATGCAAAGTGAAAAAATATTTAGCTGTACATGAGGTCCATTATAATAGGTCATCCTTTTGCTTATAGATTTATAAAAGAGGCCATAATGTCCTGAGAGTGAATCGCTCCACGTGGAAAAACCAGATTCAGAGTCTGCTGTGGGAAGAACCCCAGAAGCTTATCAGATCTAAACAAAAGATTAATGGGGATTTTGAATTTAAAATTTAATGTCCAGGCTAGCTACTAAATTTTACATTACAAGAATACTGACAATACTAAAATCTATAAAATCAGTCATGGTTTCTTATGGGATGGATTTTATAAAAGAAAATTTATTACATATTATTGTGCTTTTCCAGGAGGCATTATTTACTTATTTCATTGACTCGTTTGTCAAAATTTTTATTTTGATGTACTTAATGGATATTTAATATATGGTACATTAGAAGTCCTATTCTGCTAAAACTACCTTTTTTTCCTGTAAATTGCTGATAGACATGATCATTTCTACTTATAAACATGATGTACTTGATTTGCAGAAACAGACATTCTGATAATGGTTGATATACCCAAATTCAAGAAAACAACTGCCAACTTTTAACTATGTTGCAACTGACCGTCTTCCTGGGGGCGGGGCGAGTTGGCCACAATGAGCGGTGAAAAAGCAACACGCAATATCAGAGCCATGAGTCTTCGTAAATAAATGGTTTTGTTTATTCAATAACTTAGTTACTTTTCTCAAAACCAGGTTACCAATTCACAGGAGCTTTATCGTTGGCTAAGCCCATCTCTCAAGTGAGTTAAAGCTGTAAGAGAAGGAAAATGACCTTTGATGAGTTTAAAATGAGCTGTAAGATTCAGACCTGTGAAGTGCCCTCCAGGCCAGAGGTGGCAGCACTCCCGCTGCACTCTGTCCTTAATGTTCCCTGGTCCCCTGCCTCACCTCCCAGACGGGGAAAACTGCTTTACTAAAGCATGCAAATGTAAGCCCTGAAACAACGTAGGCCTCCAGGTTGTGTTTGCATAACATTATGAGGTCAAGATTTCTGACCTTTTAGGATGGCCAGACACTTGGTTAAATTTATAATGAAGTAATAAAAAGTGCCAGTGTGGAAAGAAGCCTCAAACATTTCAGAAATAATCATTTAAAATGTATTTCAAAATAAGTTTTAAGAACTTAAAATTAGTCTATTAACTCAGAATTCGAATTTAAGAAAGACAAATTTCCAGGTTAATAGTGAAATAGTTTATTCTTTTGTTTTTGTAACATGGAGAGGTGTGTTTTACTCATTAGAGAGAAATCCTGTTTCTTCTTCCTAAATACATTGGATCAATGTTATATGTGCATCAGGATAGCTAGGACGAAGGCCATTTTAAAGATTGTTAATAATTTATACTCAAGATAAAGCTATAGCTTTATTAATAATGAAGCAATACTCATATTTCAGTCCTGAAGTCAACAATTTACTCAGAAAAGCTTTCCTAGGTTTTCACCAGCTAATATAATTATTTGTTTAAAAATGTTTCTTGAATCAAATTTAAGGCTTTCTCTTTTCCCAGGTCACTGTATCATTCCCCCACCCCCTGTATAAAATTCCATATTTGGAGAAACACAAAATATACGACAACCATTTAAAAAAATATATAAGGTTTTAAAAATTGCAAAATATACAAGCACCTGTATGCAAGTCAAATATTACAGAGGTGTATAAAGAAAAAGTTATTAAGCTTCCCTTCACCCCTCCAGTCCTATCCCCCCCCCCAGAAACCCAGTGCTCACGTTATTGCCCACATCAGATAAAAATGTACCTATGCACTCACTGTACAAACTCAAATGCGTAACGACAGCTGCTCTGGTTTATAAAATCAGAGTCAAATCACCTGCATTATTATGTATATTAATCAGGACTCAGTCCATTTCGAGTAACAGAAACAAAGCACTAGTTTAAGTAAAAACAGGGATTTAGTGGTTCACGAAACTGAGGCGGCTTCAAGCATAGGGAGGATCTAGGGACTTAGGTCAGC